AGTATATATACAAATAGAAGAAAGTTTGGGAAAATCAAAAATGAATAAAAACATTAATCTGTAACCTAGCCTTTCATAAATAATTACTAGTAATAACATTTTGGTATGCTTCCTTGTCCCTGATTTTTTTTTTTAAACAAATTTGGTCCTCAACCAGAATAATGATGATTAATTTGAAGATTCATTAATAGGATTTAAAGGATTATAGAGTAATTCTTAAAACTAACAAGTGCATGAAAGAGTCTATGGAAATGCAGGTGGAATTCACAAGAACAGATGTACTGTTTTGCTCATTCTCCCAGAATTTGACCCCTAAAATCAATATTTTTTTTAGTGAGATTTGTTGGACATGGTTTTGGTGGTGAGTGCCTTTGATCAAAGTATCGTGCTAAAGTGCCGGGGTTCATGACTTATATGACTGCTTGAGCAGAACTAACACCTAGAAACGTATTCTTCTTTTGAAAAATCCTTTATGGAATGCCAGTATATTCTTAATTCCGTCAGGTGTAAAAAGCGCAGGTGTTAAAATGACATCAAAAAATCCGGAAACTCACCCTGCCTATTGATGAGTTACTTTTTAGGGCTCAAAGTTAGACTAGCACCTTGCTGAACAGTGCGTACAGTTTTCTTCTTTACTTACCTTCTCCCATTGCCCCGGGGCTTAATTTGCATTACTGAATGTTTGAAATAAAGAAGCAAATTTATCACCTGATAGGAAGTGGACCCTCTCTCTATTAAAACAACTTTACAGTAGTCACATTAAAAAGATTTTTTTCATACCCACTGGTCCTGTCAGCTTCAGTCATCTCCCTGCAGCAAATAAGAATTTGTGTGTGTGTGTGTGTGTGTTTGAAAATTGCTATATTACATGACTGATCAGAAAAGTGTTAGGACTTCCAGTGAATAAAGTTTCTATCTGATTTTATCTTTATTGATGTTTGTTTAGATCAAAGCAACCACTTTTGTAGAATTCAGAATTAAAACAAAAACAAAACAAAGTCCCAGGAATCCTCACTGAACAAAACCAGTTAGTTGTATTCTACTATGCACTCTACCCCGCCCCCTGACTGTTTCTCAGGTTCAATACACCTTTTTTCCTGGAATCATCAGCAGCATATTTCCCTTATGTAAGGCTCAAGATAAACTGACATAGCTTGGTTCCTTTTCGATTTTAAAACAAAACCCTTCTAAATAATAATCTTTCAACTACTAGGCTAAGTTCAGAAGTTGGAACTGTTTTTCAAATCATCACAGTTTGGGGAAAGTGAGAAGAAAGTCTTCTTTCTGGGCCAGGTGACCTAATTAGAATAAGAAAACATGGTGATTAATATGTGCAAATTAAGGCAGATGGTGAGGGAAGGTTTAAACTTCGGTTAAAATTGGAGAAAGGCATTTTAGTAAATAGTAGCCAAAAAGTAGCCACTATTGTTTTACATATTTTAACAGCCCAACATTTAGACTACAGAGGTCTAACTAGCTAATTTTGTTAAGAAAACTCTTGTGTTTTAAATGAAAGATACATGTAATCACCCAAATTCTTAAATTTTTATCTTTCTACATTCTTTTTTAGGTCTTTGATCACATTGCAGGAATTTTTATAGTTTTAAACATAGCATATAATTTTTTATTGTACTTATTTTAATTGATACATCATAAATCTGTTTTCTGAAATGCAGTATAGACCTTATATTTGTCATTTTTTCCTTTCGAATCATTTTTAATAACCTGACAGTGAGTCAAGATTGGAAGAGAAGATTTAGTCTTTTTTCCTCTGAGGGAGACACCGCCATATTGCCTCTCAGCAAGGTAGTGACGACACCCACGATTCCAAAGCACAAGGGTGTAAGAAGGCGTCAGGGCTCACAGAGGGAAGAGCTGGGTTTCAGAAAGTACCAGAAGATACTAGGCTTCAGGAGGAGCGTGAAAGTTAAGGGATCCTCAGAGGAGAGACAAGGTTTCTGGGTCATTAGTACCTTGAAACGTTTTTTGATGGTTATTCAATGTTGAGAGTCTTTGTCATTTGCCTTCTGAAGAGAACCAAGCAGGATGGGCTGAGCAGGTCTGTTGTCCCAAGGGGTTGAACTTCTTCAGGTTATAGACCCTGTTTGTTGAGCTAATCCTGGAGGAACAGGACCATGCTGAAGCCGGAGGGTCCAGTTCTGGCCACAGCTTAGTCTAACTGATGGCTTCCTATAGTTGTCATTTTAGTAGCCATATCATCTCGTCAGTGGATTACTGTAATTTAAGCATTGTGCTATTGCTGAATGATTAGATTATTTTAAAAATTTTAAATTTTAAATTATGCAGAAGTGAACAGGTGTAACCATTTTTCTTGCTAAGCTGATTTTCAAGCTTGTATTTAGGAGAGATTCATTGGGAAAAAAATGACAAAGCGATTCTTTTAGACTTGGTGGTTGGAAGATAATGGTAAGGTGTATTTTGGTTTTGTAAACTAATTATATACTATATTTGTAAACTGATTATATACTATATTGGAATTTAACGCAACCACTGGGCCAACCTAAGGTGTTGGAAAACACATCAACTTAATTACCTTTTTGACCTAATTTTATTTTTTTTCCTGGGTCAGAAGTAAACATCTTTTATCTCAATATAATTTTGTTATGATTTGTTTAATACATATCACATAATACCTATGTAATATGCACCTGAGACAATTATAATCATATAATTTGCCAAGTTATAATTTGCCAAGTTACAAATCTTTAATTGAATTAGTTTGTGAGCTGTATGAGGGCAGTGAATCCCTAGTGTCTAGCACGGTGCTTTGCACACTGGGGCTCAGTAAATATTAAGTTGAATGGATAAATATTAAAAAGATGTTATATGAGGTTCATCATTGATTGAAATAGCATTCTAAGATTAGATTTTGAAATGGGAATTACCTTTTAGCTTGTAAATACAGAACTAAGATAATCCTGTTCTAAACGCTTTAGAGGAAGTTTCTGCTCTAGGTGCTCATTGTCTGATATTGTTTGCTCAGTAGCAAAGACAGATAGGCAGGCAGGTCCACAGGTTACTGACTTGTTTCAATTTTCATTAAGTAAATAAAGTCAGTGCCACAGTTTTGTTTTTTTTAACACTTATTTTTTCCAAGTATTGCATGAGTTTGTTCTTGTTTAAGAATTCAGATATATAGCAGTGTATATAAATGGGAAACTCCTCTTCATTCTCCACCCACTACTAGTTTTCCCAGCCACTTCCCCAGTTTAACCTCAAACAGTTCAGTTCTTTCACACATTTTCCTTTGAAATATTGAAATATTGCAAGTAAGGTTTAAATTCTCTTTGATCACCACTCCTAATCTTAGCCTCTTCCTATTTTCTTATGCTCATTTATTTATTGTGACTCTTTTTAGATCTTTTCTTTGTATTTACATTCATATAAATGTACCTGTAGAATATATATGTGGGTATATTTACATGCTCTATTTCATCAGTTCTAAGACTTACTATTATTTTATGTACTATTAAGAAAGAAAAACTGCCAAATATCATAGATTGTAAAACCTAATCTGATTTTAGAGATGTTAAAGTGTGTGGTTTGGGGGAGTGCTTAAAATTGATGAAATATATTTTGTGTGCTATGATTGTATATGGTATTCTGCAGCTTGCTTTTTTCACTTAACGATATTTCCTAAACTTGCTTCATTTATACCAGTCTGAATATACCACTCTATTTAGCTAGTCCTTTAGTGATGAATTTTTAAGTTGTTTACAGTAACAAGAAAACAGTGCTGCAATGAATATCGCTATGTCCACCTCCTTCTGTGTATTTGGGGTGCTTGTCAAGGGTGGATGATGAGAATTGGAATTACTAGATCATAGGGCATGCACATTTGTAATTTTGAAATATGTTGCCAAATTGCCCTCTAAAATAACTATAACAGTTTATACTTTAAACACTAGTATATGAGAAGGTGCTTCAGGTAACTCTTGATGTTCTCTCTCTTTTTTTTGACCCCTCGGACAGCAGAGCGGGTCTTGGTATCTAATGGTTTCAATTTCCATGGACTTGACTAGTGAGGTTGAATATCTTGGGATGCTCATTGGTAACTTCTGCGTTTTTTTCCTCCTCTCTAGTTTCCTGTTTATAACTTTTAACCCATATTCTGTCGTCATCAGTGATTTAATTTTGGTGGCCACTATATACGTGCATGAAATTCGTAGGCAATATATACTAGTTACTGCCTCTTTTTTTTTTTATATGTTGAAATTTGTAGTCTCATTATCTTTAGAATTGACCAGTAATTAATGCTACCATTTATCAAAGAAGCAGAACTATTCTGTAAAAGATTTCCCATTTTATCAGCACCCAGTTTCATAGTACATTTGAATGTTGGTGGTAGTTAAGTCTTTACAGGTCAAACTGGCTTCACTCTTAATTGCCCATTTAAAACCTGCTGGAGCCATCCGTAACACGAAGAAAGGAAAAGGATCTAATAGTTATTATTAATGCTGATATCCGTTACCTCTGAAGTAGCAGCGGACTCCTTTCTGTATTGATGAACAGAGAGGTTAAGTAGCCCTGCTGCTCAGAAGTGTCTGAGGCTGTCTGATCCCAGAGCCCTTTTGTCACCTCAGGCTGCTTCAGTGCGGTGAGTGCGTTTTGAATAGAGCTTTGTAAAGTATGTATATGGTCGTATTGAAAGTGATTGACATGAAATTATTTTTTTAAAAACTTTAAAAAATGATTGAAGAGATTTAATATGTGTAAAAGATGTCAGTAGTACACTTGTATCTGAATGTAGCTTGACAGATTGGTTTCTCTGTAATAGTTTTAACATTGATGCTTGGCGTCATTTAAATTAATTCAGCACAAAGCATTTCTGTCTTGGCTTCGACTATTAAAATATAGTATTTTAAAAATCTCACTATAATAGTGTTTATTTATATCCATCACAGGCAGTTTGTGACATACCTTATTAGCAAAAATTCAGCATACAGTGCTGAAAATTATGTATTTTGCCAGTGCTAATTGTTTCCTTTGTGTTTCTTTTTCTTATAGAAAAAGATGGCAAAGCTTTTCATCCAACTTATGAAGAAAAACTGAAGCTTGTGGCACTGCATAAGCAGATTCTAATGGGGCCATATAATCCAGACACTTGTCCTGAGGTTGGATTCTTTGATGTGTTGGGGAATGACAGGAGGTAACAGTCTTTTGTTGTATAATAAACTTAATGAGAATTATGTGAAAAGTATAAAAGTAAATTGGTTAAGATGTAAATAGCTGGCTCATTAGTTTAGAATAAGAACTGAAACGAACATTTTTGCTTGCAGCTTCTGGAGTCTTCAGATGTTTATCTGTTTTTGGCTTGGAGATGTTTATGGCTAAATATTGTGGAAGAAGCTTACTCATCTGATTATGAACATAAGACAAGTACAGCTTCATTTGATTCTTCCTAATTATATTAAAAGCAGCCACTTAAACTACATAGTAATTGATTCCTTTATTGGGACTTATAGAAGTTGTGACAAAAAAGAATACATTGACTATTTTATTCAGTTAAGGCTAAAATATGATAAAGGTAAAACAAAATTGATACCCTTTTGCTAGTATGGAAATTATCAGCAATGCAGTTAAATTGCAGTTTACGAAGTAAGTTTGGATTGTACGTGGCATACCTAATTTAGTAAGTCAGTACATGCTTATTGAAAGTTGAAGTTTTGAGCCTTCTGTTTATGGTAGAATCATTCTTCATTTTAGTTATGATCGAGAATTGTTCATATTTAGGTTTAAATTAAATCAAATTCTCATTTTCTTAAGAAGAGTTAACTTCTCGTGTTATTTCTTACAGGAGAGAATGGGCAGCCCTGGGAAACATGTCTAAAGAGGATGCTATGGTAGAGTTTGTCAAGCTCCTCAATAGGTGTTGCCATCTGTTTTCAACATATGTTGCATCCCACAAAATAGAGAAGGAAGAGCAAGAAAAAAAAAGGTGACGTGTGAGGCACAGAATACTTTATCCTTGTACAGCCCAGCATACTGATGGTTTTGCTTTATGGAGTGTTCTAGATCAGATGTCTGACTTCCCTTAGGCCCCCGCACTTCTTACTGTAATTGCTCAAACTTCCTGATACGAGCAGGTATTTAGGAGTTTTGTGGGGAGGGACATGCTGCTTCCATCTGGCTATATCTTTAAGAGGAACCACCCATCCATCTTGGCAGCATTCCTTTTGTGTTATTACACTGAATTTTTGAGCAAGCACTGTAAACTCAACCACCCCCTCCTCCTTACCCTCTAGTCTGATATACCCTTTGTGGCTGTCTCCCTTGAGTTTCTAGAATGTTCACACTCCATATCATAGTCACACTTCGTGTCATGGTTATTAGCTGTGCTGCATGGTAGGCCTTATATAGATATTCCGTATTGGCCCTGGCTTCCAGATGGCTCAGCATTATTTCCAGGGGCTGGAGGGAGAGCTGCTGAATGTGCTGTTTATGTTTATGGGATTTTCTTTCATGATTGCGAATGCAAACAATTATAGTCAGCACCTTATTTATCTAGAGGTTATATTTTCAATAACTTTGACTATCTAAATTTCCTACATAATGAAAATCATTCTGCGAAACCAATTTTTCCTCATATATTTTACTTTAGAAACAGTTGGTTCTCTGATTTCTTGCCTTAACCTGGATTGGAAGTAATAGATTAGAAAAGAAAATAGCCTGATTGAGAGGGAGAAGCCAGAAACCATGAAAAATAGACATAAGAATTATAAAAGTATGGCAGTCAGGGCCATTTAATATGAAGGTAAAGTTCTCCATCGCTGTATTTTGACATACAATTTTTATGTTTGTAGTTATAACTCCCGAGTCATCAAAAGACAGCATTAGGTAAAACTTGTTCCTGTTTAAGGTGATAGGAGGTAGCCTCTACATTTTCGAAGGTTGTTTTATCCAAAGGAAAAGTTCTGATTCATATAAGAATGGAGTGAGGTCGCTTTACTGGAAAATTGATTTATGTGCTACAGTCCATGGTGAGTGAGAATGTCTTTGGAAGTATGTATTTGCTTTAACAATAAATTGAATATTTCGTTGCTATTCAACATATAAAATTGCATTTTTCCTTTTAAAAATTTATTTCTGTCATGAGATGAAGTCTGTATAGAATTCTTTGAAAGCACTTAAAGACTTGGCTTCCTCTGCCTAAACTTTAAGCTCCGGTATTTTGAGCCTTGGCTGTGCCTCAGCTGTGGTGTTAGTTACTTACAGGAGTTTGGGGAGAAAAGTAGGGTATCCCAAGCAGTTCTCATAATAGAGCCAAGAAATAGTGTCTTCTCTGAGCGTTCTGAGGATGTGGTGATGTGAGATAGGCCATCTCTGCCCTTATGTAGTTTGTACTTTAATGGGTGAGGCAGATGCGTTGCTAAACTTACTCCAATTTAATCACAGTTACAGCATGTAGTATGAAGGAAAAGCTTGTGGTGCTGTGAGTATATATTAGACGGGAACCTTAGGGTACGGTATATTAAAATGATTTCAGTTGTATCTGCTTATGGATACCCTTTTCTGTTCTGTGCAGCAGTATTGATTCTTGTCATAATTGTGTATATTGTGCACTTGACTCCATGTGATAAGTGTGTGTATCTCAAGTTTGGGTAATATCACATTGTTCTCTGAAAAGGTGATGTCAGTTTCACTGTGCAATAAAAATCTGAATTTGTTTTTAAACAGGATTCTTTGTATAGGGTTCATTCTCCATCCTTTACCTTGTAGGAAGGAGGAGGAGGAGCGAAGGCGGCGTGAAGAGGAAGAAAGAGAACGTCTGCAAAAGGAGGAAGAGAAACGGAGGAGGGAAGAAGAAGGAAGGATGAGACGGGAGGAGGAGGAAAGGAGGCGGCTGGAGGAAGAGAGGCTTCGGTCAGAGCAGCAGAAGTAAGCGTGTGTGGCTTGTGTTTAAGGAGGAGAAACAGCAGCCACAGTGCTGTGCCATGCCTCTGCCTCTGTGCACCTTAGCGATAATCCTGTGCTTTGTGTGACTGGGAGGCAGAGCGACGTTAGCTACTTGCCATTCGCTCCAGTAAGGTGTTGCACAGAGAGCCTCATCTAAGCATCGTTTGGTTGCAAGAGGAGGACTGAGTGCATGGGAAGGGTTTGGGACTCACTCTCAGAACTCAGGGACAAGAACAGGAGCTGAGGCTGCCCGCTGCTCCCTGACTGAGTACAGGTGATCTTGTCTTTGCTTCTCTCAGCTTATGTCTCTGTTTCAGTCTTTCTGTTCTCTGCACATTCTCTGCTTTGGTACACACAAGGCTATCCCAGCCTGGATTTAGGTGGTCTTTGTTTTCATGCATCTGGCAGAGACTGGTTGGAATCTGAGAGACCCAGTTTTAGACTCCCAGGACAGAGAATGCAACTGGCCCAGCCTATGTCGGGTGGCCCCTAGCACAGGACCTGGGAGCTGAAATCATTTCTTAATTCAGTGAGGGCTGCAAGAGCAGTTGTCTCAGAAGGGGACTGGTTCTTCAAGAGGGAGCTGTGGGTGCAAGGAGGGAGGGATAAAACTCTGCAGAAAAGGCCTGGGGCCCTAGGAGCGGCATGGCTTATAGGCTAAACCAGAGAACATGAGAGCCTATTGATTTCTTCTCATTTCTGAGTCGTTCTCAGGAGAGCATCACTCTGGCCCAGGCCTCATTCTACTTTGGAGAGAGGCTGTGAACACTACTCTTGAGGGGAGAGGGGTGGGCCCAGGATCATGATCTATTCAGGAGTTTGTGAGAATTTGCTTTGTTATTTATCTGTTAATAGATGACTTCGAGATCTTTGTCAAGTTGGTCACATAACTTAAGCACGTGGTTCCTCTGTGACAAAAAATAAAAGAATCGTAAGAGTTTTCAGAAATTACTATCTGAACTGAACCAAGTGTTCCCAGATGTTATTTTCAATATTCCTGTTTAAGGAAGGTTTTAAATTAACCCATTTCCTGTTTAGGAAAAAAAGTGCAGCTCACAACCAACATGAATTTAATTTTATTTTAACACTCTTCGAGGCTGAAGCAAATCTTGACTCTTTTTCGGAATGAAAACAAAATATAAAAACTGTTCTTGTTATTTCTAAACAGAACTTGTCTCTAATCCTAATGTAACAAATGTATACATAAATCAGGTTCATCAAATGAATCTTCGGCTAACAGTTGTTTGAGAACAATGTTAGCATCATGCATGGGAATGCAACATTTTCTAGGATTTGACGTTTTCATCGATTGAAAATTACTGTATTTTGTAGATGGAAATACCACTACTAAAACCGGAATGCTGTACATGGAATAATGTCATCTGTTTCCTAAGGCTATTGATATACTAGAGCAATGTGAAAATAATAATTAAAGTGAGATATTTTGTGGCAGACTTTGGGAGGGAGGTTAGGACTGTAACCTGCAAGTTATTTCGGGGTAAGTGCTGCCAGCGATTATTCTCGGGGCAAACGGGAAATGGGTTAACTGCCAAGGGCCCTCACATTTTCATTGGCTTTATTTATACTTAACCAGGGCCACTTGTACCATCTTTTAGCTGTTCTTCTGCGTCTTACTGCTTTTCATATATTTGGGTAGAGAAGCCGTGGTTAACGGTTAAATATCTCATCTCTGCCCTCGATGATGGTCCACCCTCTTACAGCATCAAAGTTAGAGTATAGGATGGAGCCAAACTGCCTAGACTTGAGCCCCGGTTCTGGCACATATTAGCAGTGTGATCTCGGGCAAGTTACCGAACGCCACTGTTTCCTCCTTTGTGAAACCCTGACCTTCAAGAGTGGTGGTGGGAACTCAGTGGGTTAATACCTTGGTGGTGCCTTAAAAATTGCCTGGCACATAGTAGGGGCACAGTAAATGATAGCAAATATAATGGTGATGATGATATGTTGTTCTCTCTCCATACCAAATTTTCCTTGAAAACCCTAAGTAAAAAAATTAGAGGCCAAGTTTATTTTCTTAAATGTTTCTTCTGGGCCTGGGACACATGCTGATTGGTATACATTACTAGCTTAATCATATTTAACAATTATAAATTATAAAAATAAATGACAGACATTTGGTTTTGTCATGAACAATCTCCTGTAGTCAGACTAGTATATATTTTCTAATGTTTTTAGGCAGCAGATAATGGCAGCTTTAAACTCCCAGACTGCCGTGCAGTTCCAGCAGTACGCAGCCCAGCAGTACCCAGGGAACTACGAACAGCAGCAGATTCTCATCCGCCAGTTACAGGAGCAGCACTATCAACAGTATATGCAGCAGTTGTACCAAGTCCAGCTCGCACAGCAACAGGTATGATAGACAACCCCAGCACTCAGCCCTAGCGAGGAGTTTCAGTTTCATTGGAACCCCAGTTCTTTTTTATGAGCTGCTTATGAATTTTGCTTTAGTTAGCCTGTCAGGTGTAAAGGAACTTTATTAAGGAAGACTTCAGTGTTTAAAGTCTTTAGTGTGGCAGTTATGAAAGAAAACATATGGTACTGAAGCAACAAATGATGTGGCCGCTGTTAGATTGTCCTAGAGGTCTTTGGCAGTTGTATGGACAGAGTGTCATTTCAGTGAGTCTGAAGTGGATTCTAACAGTGGTCCTGGAACCATGAGGACTTGGGTAACTAGCATTAGTTCAAGGACATCCTTCAGACAGTGCACTGTCATAGGCCCAGATAGCTTTCAGTGGGAGGACCCCATGCCCTAAGGCTATTGGTTGGTTCTACAGAGCTTGGGTCCATCTTGGCCTTTGTGTTGAGTTCAGTAACTAGTTAGTGAGCACCTCAAGTATGTTGGTAGACTTCCTCTCACTCCCTACCCCCAAATAGTTTGCTTCTGCATGTAAGTAGGTGGTTTAGGGGAAAACACATGAGATGGGGGGGGTCAGATAACACTTGGATTCTGTCCCATCTTTGCCATTATCTTGTTTGATCTTGTTTCTGCCAGTAAAGGATAGGATATGAAATCCTGGCCTGTCCTATTAATTTCACAGGACTGTCAGAGGAATAAAATGAGAAAATAGTTACCCTGTGAAAGTATTTTGTACATATGGAAGGCAACTGATTTTACATTCACTTTTTACATCGTGCAGAAGCATAATATGCCTCTTTAAACTTAATCTAGGAGCTGCTTTGGCAGCACATCTATTAAAATTGGAACAGGGAGATTAGCATGGCCCCTGCACAAGGGCAACATGCAAATTCATGCAGCGTTCCCTGTTAAAAAGAAATAAATAACCAAGCAAACAAAACAATCTAGCTAAGTGTGCTTATTCATTTAATTTTCATTTATAAAGCAATTACTACCTGTCAAAAAATCTGAGTGAAGAAAAGTATTACCTTACAGTTGTTCAACATATCTTGTTAAATGAAGTAATCTTTGGTTTTTAAATTCCTTGAAAATTAATATTCTTACCAGCTCTTTAAATTCCTTGAAAATTAATATTCTTACCTAAAATACCTCTCTCCCTTAGTCTTTAGCTTTAATGAGTAGTTAAAAAGCACTGTAGGGTTTGTGTAATCCATGAGAAGAGGGAGTATGTCAAACCAGAGTGTATTCAGGATAATTAATGGTATTTTTGAGGGATTTCTTTCCTGTCTTCTAAAGCCTGTTTCTGTGTTAGCATATTACTTCCCTTTTCCTGCTCTTACGGACATTGAAATAAGTTTTTTATAAGATAGCTCCTACACATTGTCCCGTTTATAGGTTGCTATCACTTAATGAATACAAAGTCAAGTAGGGCCAAACCAAGACTCTTTGAAACAACTAGAAAGCCATAATTTTAGATTACAGTGCTCACACTGTTTACCAGATTGATAGATTGTCTGGAAAGAGAAGGAAAGGGACTAGGGAAGGAACAAAGAATATCAGCCTCCATAAAGTATTAATTTTCATAAAAATACTGAGCAAAATGACAGAATGTGGCCATCTTATTAATTGGGGGTGTGGTTACCTTAGTGTTACATTGTTCCTGTACCTTTTTGTGCTTTTAAAAACTTCCCAAAGTATAGAAGAGAGATTATATATATAAATAATTAGTCCATTATATAGAATCGATGTATGTTCATGGGTAGTGGGGTTCCGGGAAAAGGAGTTGCTGCTAGAGTTTCAAGAAAGGCTTACTGGAGAAGGGACCCGTGGAACTAGACCAGTTCATCAGCAGCAGAATGCTTTTATTGTTCTTGCCATGCAGTGGATGTTTTGAGTGTGCTGACTTGAGTTCTTAAGTGTATTACTAGCCTGCAGTAGCAGCAGGGAGAGGTGTTTTAAGTAATTGGTTTGTAAATCATATGTAAAGTGAAATGTATATACAGATATGCCAAACTATGTCATTATCCCTTATCCCATAAGATTATAAGGGCTTTTTTTCCCCCTATATTTTTTCCTTCCTTTTTTTTTCTTTTAAAAAAGTTACATAAATGTCCAAATACTTATCAGCAGTAGAATGGACAAATAAATTTTGTATTTTCACAATGGAATGCCCTATAGCAATGCAGACAAACAAAACTGAATTACTTGTGATCCTATATGTGAATCTCACAAAAATAATGTTGAGTGAAAGAAGCCAGGCACACAAAAAAGAACATATAATGTACAGTTCCATTTATGTGAAGTTCAAAAACAGGCAAAGACTCGATAGTGTTATAAGTTAGATAAGTCAGAGTTGTTACCATGGAGGGCGTGGGGGGGTTATCTAGAAAGAAGCATCGGCGGGGGGCTGCTCTGCGGTGCAGAGAACGTCTTGATCTGGCTGTTGGTTACATGGGTATGTTCAATTTATGAAAAATCATGACGCCGTACAAAGTTCCCGCAAAAGTTACTTAAGGTATTAAGATTACTTAGGTATTTTTAGTAGTATTAGTATCTGTCCATCTTGATATAAGAAAGGAATGTCCCAAAATAATTGTCCTTTGTGTTTAAGATGTTTTTACACACCCATTTTGACTCAGAAGACATTTTGATTTCATATTTATGAATACACATATTTTAATCATAATTATGTGAAGAGTGACAAATTTTCATTGAGAAAGTATTTTGATCTCAAACGCCATTTTATAAGCCTTTTTAATTCTTAGGTCACTATTTTCTACATGAATAACAGTTTTCAATTTAATTGTAAGAATTTTTCTCTGTATAAATATATAGTTTACAGTGAAGATATATTATTTTTTTCCATTTTAGAATAATTGTCCACATTTGATTTGTTGGTTACTTTGAGGACTAGTATCAGATTTTACCAATAACACCTTCTGCCTTTGTGAATTTTCTTCTGTGATCATTTATTTCTACCAAGTTTCATTTTCCTGATTCAAATTTTATGTATATGAGTTTTATCAAGATTTTCTCTATCAATTTTATGAACAATTTTATGTTCAATTTTTGCCCTCAGTAATCTTATTTTGAGTCGATTATTTCTACCTACTTGAACTTTTCCTGATTAGTTTTTCTGTGATTCTCAGTTTCAGTTTTTCATCTATGTTAACTTTTTATCACTTAACCGTTGGTTCGATCTTGAGCCATTAATATTCATTATAGATAAGATAAAAACTAATAAAATTTATTAGTAATTTCTCGGAGCCGAGTGCTTTGATAGGACAAAAACATGGGGTCAGAATGCATTTGAGGGCAAACGTCTCGTTTCTTAGCCTTCCTGGTCAGTGTACCTTCACTTTTTCTCTACACTTTTTCTCGACTTATAGGCAGCATTACAGAAACAACAGGAAGTGGCAGTAGCTGGGGCTTCATTGCCTACATCCGCAAAAGCGAATGCAGCTGTACCAAGTGATATGATGTCAGTTAATGGACAGGCCAAAACCCACACTGACAACTCTGAAAAAGAACTTGAACCAGAAGCTGCAGAAGAAGTCCTGGAGAATGGACCAAAAGGTACAGTTTGCTGTATGTGTTCATCCAGATGTCATAGTTTAGACTTCGTGAAGAGCAAAAATCAAGAAATGAGATTGACTAGCTTTGGAGAGCAATTACGTGTTTGCGAAAGTTGAATGTGTTTTCACTCTTTTTTATTTTATTATTATTATTTTTTTCTTTTGTTTTCACTCTTTTTTAGTCTGAATCTGATACTTCTAATAATCTTAGAATAAATCAGATGTCCTTTGGACTCTGGGTCATCTTATTATATATATATAGGTTGTCGTGTGACAAATTGTACCCAAATTTATCAGCTTAAAATAATAATATTTATTATCTCACACCGTTTCTGTGGGTTAGGAATTCAGGAACAGCTTAGCTGAGTGGTGGTGGTCCTGGCGTCTCATGAGGCTGCAGTTGAGATGTTGGCTGAGATGCAGTCATGCGATGGCTTGACTGGGGACTGAAGGCTGTGCTTCCCAAAGGGTTTCCTCACAGGGTGGCTGTTGGCAAGAGGCCTCGGTTCCTTGCCCCATGAAACCTCTCCCTAGGGCAGTGTCCTCAGCGCAGTGCTGGCTTCCTCCAGAGCACAGGATCTAAAAGTGAACAAACCAGAACTGGCAGTGTCTTTTATGCCCTAACTTTAGAAGAAATACGTCAACACTTACGTCACATTCTGTTGGTCCCACATACCAACCCTGACACATTTTGGGTGGTGACCTGACAAGTGCGTGAATACCCGGATGTGAGGATCCCTGGGGGCCATCTTGGAGGCTGGCTACCTTATAGCACAGCACATTTTTTGAGACTAAAGTATGTTACCTAAAAGATGACTTAGCATTCTCAAAGGCCTGTTAGCTTTTCATGGGCAGCTTGCTCGTTCGTTCCTCAGTTGGTTGAAGATGTTCTGAGTGCTACAAGTGCAGTGCTGAGGCAGAGAAGCACACAGATGTAAACCGCGACTCCGGTTAAGTGCTGTAATGATTCCTCAGTTGGTTGAAGATGTTCTGAGTGCTACGAGTGCAGTGCTGAGGCAGAGAAGCACGCAGATAGATGTAAACCGCGACTCCGGTTAAGTGCTGTAATGGAGAAAGCGGTACACTGTAGTTTGAGAGCGTGAATATGGAGGATGTGACCTGACTAGGACAGCAGAGGCTTTCCTGGGGAAGGGACATTGAAGCTGGGAGGTCTGAACCATGGTGGTGTGGTTTGTAAGAAAGCTGGTTTCAGAGCTCTTCCTTGTCTCTTTAGAACAAGTAACAGAAAATAGTTTCAGAAAAGACCTTGAAATCCCTTGGTTTATACCCACTCCCCACCTATTAACAGTTTACCAATATTTTCAAAAGAATCTTTGTCAAGGGCTCTATGACTGACTCTGGAAAACCTGTCGAGTAGTCTAGTGCACATGGATACTGCTCAGTAACAAGATTTTAGCCCTTTTCACTCAGTCCCTAGCAGTTCCAGTCCTGTCCACGTTTTCCAGGTGGTGTGGGGCAGGGGGGTCGGCTCCTTTAGAATAGCCCCTGGAACGTTGGGAAACTCAGGTCACCACTTTTCCAACAGAGGGGACTGAAGTCAAAGCCCAGCTTTCTTTGTCCACATCCAAAAGTGAATTTATTTTTAAGTCCAAATCTCTCTTTGTTAGACGGTTTGTTTCCCCACCTCCAGCTAGGAAGTTTCCAAGGTCATTCTTAAATCCCTGTATGTAATTAATGTTGAAAAAAATCACTTCTAAGATTGCGGATCGCATGTCTTGAAGTGGTATGACGACCTCTAAATACTTGGGACACTGTTCAGTGTAGTAATTTGGAGGGAGTCTTCCATGGGGAGGCCTTTATGTTCCTCTGAGTCCTTGCTCTAGGGTAGACCATATTGCACTTGGTGCCCCAGTGTGGCTGGCAGGTGATCATATGCCAGTGTTACTGCCTGCAGGTGAAGGCTCATCCTCTTTAGCTTTTGTAATTCCTGTTGCCTTTAGAATCTCTTCCAGTAGTAGCAGCTCCTTCCATGTGGACACGACCCCAGATCAAAGACTTTAAAGAGAAGATTCGGCAGGACGCAGATTCTGTGATTACAGTGGGCCGAGGAGAAGTGGTGACTGTTCGAGTACCCACCCACGAAGAAGGATCGTATCTCTTTTGGGAATTTGCTACAGACAATTACGACATTGGGTTTGGGGTATATTTTGAATGGACAGACTCTCCAAACACTGCTGTCAGCGTGCATGTCAGTGAGTCCAGCGATGACGAGGAGGAGGAGGAAGGTAGAAACATGGGTCCATATTCAGTAGCTGCTGGGTTGTGTGTTGGGAATGATAGTGGCGGTTCAGATTTCAGACAGCCTTATGCTTCCTCATTAACACTTCCTGACCAGGAATCACTGTCTTCATCAGGTTGTGAGAAAGGCCAGCCTCCTAGGACAGTGGTCCCCACCCTTTTTGGTCCCAGGGACCAGTGTTCCTATGAGAATCTAACGCCCGATCAGACGTGGAGCTGAGGCGGTGATGCTAGCGCTGGGGAGCAGCTGCAGATACAGATGAAGCTTCGCTCGCTGGCTCGCCACTCACCTCCTGCTGTGTGGCTCAGTTCCTAATGGGCCACAGACTGGTACCGGTCCACAGCCCGGTACCAGTCCACAGCCCAGGGTTTGGGGACCCCTGTCCTAGGGGACTGGTGCCTGAGCATGAATTTTTTTGAATACCTAGAAGATATGTTTGGCCATTCCTTTTCTGCTTATTTTACACTATTTTACTGCCAGCTTGTGTGTCTAAAAGCTAAATGCACAAGATCATTTTGAAAAATTTTAAAGGAGCAAGCAGGGAATTCTTCTAACTCGAATTTATTTAAATTTGTTTCTGACATTAGCTTTTGAGGTCATTATTCTGAGATTTTTTTATGTAAATACAGAAACTCACCAGAACATCTTACCTAAAAAAAAATTTACTTGTTCTTCTCTATTAGAGTATAATTTCTTATTTTCTCTAAGTAGACAAAATTGTTTCCAAGGACATTCTAAACTTTTTGGTCTAGGGAGTAGGTTATAAAATGTATTGCTTATTAATTGAGAAGATGGTCTCCTTAATTTTGTTTCACAGAAAAGTTAGAACTTAGGGCTTTTATACACTTACCTGGTGAGCACTTAGGTATTCGTTGCCATGGTTGACAGTGATACGGAAGGAGCGCCTGACTGTGAGAATGGAAAAGCACCTTGTCCTCAGTTCTGGGAACTCACTAACCTTTCAGGCAATTTGCATACAGACTGCTTGTTTTTGAAGAGGGTTGGGAGATTACATTGGGATAAGTTTAAAGAGGCAGTCAGTCGTCGGAGGTGCGTGGAGGGAGTTTAAAAGTTCAGTCAGCCTTTGAGATGCACCGTGCAGCCATGTTTCCACACCATGCCGTGTCTGGGCCTTCTGGGGTCATGCACGGCAGCACTCACACGGGCCAGTGTCATTTAGGAGCTGCTTTGTCTTGCATGGCATTTTATTTTCGGCCATCGTTATTTCTGAGTACCACTAGCAAGGTAGAGTATTGCCCATATATACTACTGACTGAACCAGAAAGAGAAAATACAGGAGTGGACAAAACAAGAAGAGGTGAGAGAGAGAGACCCGGGCAGACTGCAGAGCAGGCGCCACTCCCACTGTCTCTGGTGCCTCTCAGCAACATCAGGACCTGGGACTGAGTGTCGCAGGGACTCATGAAAATCAGACTGTTTACAAATATCTGAGAGAGAAAGTTTTTGTGTGTGTATGTATGCAAATTATTGTACTTATAAAGAGCTTTGTGAATAATACAGAAGAATCTTCTGTTCGGAAGTAGGTTGGGGTATATGTTTCTCCTGGCTTGCCTGCTGGAGAGCTTCTAAAAGGAGGTTGCTTCTGAGTCTGGGCCCTCAGCTGTTATGTTTTGGGGTTATTGCTGCTGGGAAGAGCACAGGTAAAAATGTCTGGGGTCCAGGGCCTGTCTAGAGGTGAAAACCCTAACATCCTGAACCTTTGCTCTAATATATAGTACCCTCAGATGGAAAATGGCATTGCCTGTCTGTGTGCCAATCCAAACCTTCAAATGATGTGCAGCTAAAATTCTGTATTAACAGTAATGACAGCGAGCATTTATTGCTCCCAAGGATTGTTTGCTAAGAGGTGACCCACAAATCATTGCTCTATATGCCACACTCTTCCTTATGGAGGCTTCTATGCCACCATGTCTTGTCCACATTGTGCATTTTTGGGGGATCATTTTAGCTTGGACTCGATGGAGGAAGGGTCCAGTTTTTTTTGGTCTATCCTTTGTATTTTTCTCCATTAGGCCTTGAAAGACAGAGGACTTTGTTTTCTCTGAAGCGTGGACGGATGGTAACCCATCCTATAATTTTCCACTTTCTTCATTGTCTCCAGGTCCCAAGTCTTTGCTTAAATTGACAAAATAAGCATTATTCTCTATCCTAGTAATCTTTAGTTTACAGATTTGGCTCTTGAATTAATGGATCAATAATCTATTTAATGGATATCCTTATAGGCAGTAGCGCAAATTTGAATGTTTCTCTTTTTCATTTGTCAATGAAGGACATTTCATGTTAAGTATTGCTGTGATAAAGCAAATCTGATTTGGGCCTACATATGTGTCATCTACTTTTTAAAAATAAACTCCTTGAGAGTAGTTTTAGATTTATAGAAAAGTTGCAAAGATAGTGCAAGGAATTCCTGATAACCCCTGCACCCCATTCCCCTGTCGTTAATATCTTACATTGTACTGTGGTTCATTCATCATAACTAATGAACCGGTATTGGTATATTATCGTTAACTGAAGTCCATATTTATTCACATTTCCTTAGTTTTTACCAAATGCTCCAGGATCCCATCCAGTATGCCACATTATCATATCCTTTAGCTCCTTTAGACTGAGAGAATTTCTCCTTTCCTTGTTTAAATTTCTGGTAGTAGCCATGACAACCATTGCACAGTTAACTCGGTCACCAAGTTCACTCTGCCATGTTCTAAACCCGAAAGTCTTTTATCTTCTATGCTGAATATTCCCTTGACCTATTTTCCTTGAGGCTATTTATATTTAATATGCTAAACTGAGACTTTTAAGCCGGTTCATAATTTTCTCACTCCTGTAGGTTTCTAGAGGTTTTTTTCCCCCCTAACCTTATGTCATTACAGTTGAGAAAACTACTAACTGGGGCAAACTGAAAGTCAGAGCTCATTTTTTGTCACCGGGATCATCCCTGGGTTATGCAGGCCTAGCGAGTGTAATTAAATTTTCAGTGTGTCTCCGAATGCCTGCCTCTCTCCTGTGGTTTTCTCATTTTACTCTTTATATTTAAGATATATAGAAAATTATAGTCCTCATGGGCTCCCTTCCTCCCTTCCTAAAGCAAAGCGGACTTTCATATTGCTGAGGAAGAGGAGGATCAGGGCAACATTTTCCTTGGTCTTACTCACATGAGCGTGAGTTCTCCTTTTGGGAGGAATTAGGAATTGAATGGATGGGGAAGGGGAAAAATGGGGCTCAGGAATAGCAGTAATGGTCAGAGCACAGAGAGAGAGGATGCTGACCACTGCCACCACTGAGTGTTTACCACTGGTCTCCCAGGGGTCAGACAGTGCTCAGTACGTAGCAGTTGCTCATGTATATGAGTGCATCAGTCAGTCAACCAACCAACATATGCTCAAATACATATAAGTTGTAGATGGATAAGAGAATTCTTAATGAGCAATTTCTGAGTGAAAGGATGGAGTTTTAAGTGCTTGGTGCAAGTGTGGGTTTCCTGGATCTGTTCATGACTTGTCTCTTCTTCCTCACAGAAAACATTAGTTGTGAAGAGAAAGCCAAAAAGAATGCCAACAAGCCTCTGCTGGACGAGATTGTGCCTGTGTACCGACGGGACTGTCATGAGGAAGTGTATGCCGGCAGCCACCAATACCCAGGGAGAGGGGTCTACCTCCTCAAGTTTGACAACTCCTACTCTTTGTGGAGGTCCAAATCAGTCTACTACAGAGTCTATTATACTAGATAAAGATGTTACTACAGAGTCTGGAGTCTAGGGTTGGGCAAAAGATGGCATTTATTTTGGAAATTTGTTTTGACTTGAGCATTGAGTCAGTGTTTACCCTATTGATTTTGGTCTCATGGTTTGCGAACTCTTGTTGGGAATCAGGATTTCCTTGAGACTTTAGCATTGATACTTTAGGGTTAAAGGAATTCCTCAGACTCATCCAGCCCTTGGGAGCTGACCAGCAGAGTCACTAGTGGATGCTGAAGTTACATGAGCTACGTGTTAAATCTTTAAAGTCTCCGAAATAAAACATCCCAACGTTGACCCCACCTAGCTGATGGTTAGTCCATTGCTGCCTGCTCCATGTGTTTTATGAGAGGCCATAGTTAACAGTGCCGTCTAATTTGAAATCATTATGTTAATAGTCTACATTGAGGTATAGGTGACTTTGATTGAAGATCACCATTTTTTTAAACTTAAAAACTTAAGACCTCACAGATGATAGGAAGAAAAATTGCCTCAACTCACTCTTGTTGTGAGTGACCCAGATTGTGTTTTGCTTTGGATACAGCTGTTATGTTTGCTTTGGGTTCAGAGTTCTATTACAGAGAGTTATTTTCTGAGATAATCTTAAAATAGAATGTTCAGACCTGTTTGCTGATTGAAGTGTCAAGATGCATAGAACACCTCTCAAGCATTCATCCAAGCAAGCCTCCACACACTCTTGGTCCTTTTCACTGGGTATTTACACTACGAGTAGCAAAGCAAAATTAACTCGTTTTTGTCTTGATTTGGCTTTATGGAGAAAGCATCTCAAATTGAAACTGTTTTCTACACAAGCATATAGTTAGGAATTTTATAAACTCAAATTTCCACCTACTAATTCAGTGTACGAGGAATAACATTGCACTAACATGGAAATCACTGCCAGAGACGGTCCATTTTTAATTTGTTACTACTTAGATACAAACCCTACATGACTCCAGTTTGGAATTACTAGAGAGAATTGGAAATGTATATGCCCATGCTTAAATTTTTTATAGCTTTAACCTCTATTATGTCTTTATCGATGGAAAGAGGTACATCTTTGTTTTCTTTACTGGAAACAAATATGGGTTAATTGCCTCAAATATGTATAAGTGATTGACTAGTCTAGAAATTGGTGTTTTCAGAAGGGAGGGTAGTACAGATAGAAAATGACAAAGATGGCAATATACATGTAATGTTACTATATGTTGTTACTGAAATACTTAGATTTTTAAAATTTCAAATCATAAATCACTTCTCGTAGGAGGGTTTCCACTGATTAGCTGCAGTATATACAGTTCACTACATAAGGAAGGGGCTGTTTGTTTTTGTGTGCTGCAATTTTTTTTTTAAATACCTGGTTTTGTATATACCTAACTCTGTTCTCTTTTGTTGTTCAGAAACTGGATTATTTTTTCCTAAGCAGTGCTTATTTGTGTTTTTTAATTTTGATTTGGTAGTCCTAGCTCACAGGTGTCCATCCTGTTACATCCAGAACACGTGTCAGGCTGTCTGTCAGCTTCATGTATATATATGGCATAGAAACCACGGGACTAGGCACTTCCTGGTTTGTTTGTTTTTTTATTGGAAAATACTGTATTTAAAATGTAAAATAAACTTTTAAAAAGCAGGCACTAATATATATTTCTTTCAGCCTTTGATTACAGATTTGTCCTTGTACATGTTAAGATGAATTTTCTTCTAAAAATATTGTTCTTGGGAGCAGTGTCTGTTACTCTACATAGTGGTTCCTATCACATGTTCACGTTGGAACATTTTTGGTTTTAAACTTTTTTTTTTTTTTTTTTTGCCTTTAGCTGTTGATTAGTTAAATTCAAGTGCGATTTCAAAGAGATCTTGAAAATAATATATTTAATCAATTAAAATGTTTATCTGTAACCTGTTGATGTTTCATTAATATATAGTTACTCTCTGAAGCATAATTCTGTATTTCATCATTTGGGTAGGACAAGAAATGTTTTAACTGATCTTTTCTATTTTAAAAAGTTGAAAAACAGCAAATTATTTCTGGCTGACTTCATTTTTGCTTTGAATTACCCTAGTGGGTTAAAACGGATTTAAAAATCTTCAGACTTCTTGATGGAAAGGAAACACTGACTTTTCTCATTGAAAGTGACTTTTATAAAACTAATTCTCCTACACAACCATGTGTGGAGCATGTTCCTTAAAGTACATGGAGGTAACCTACTTCAGAGTACTCCCCTGAGATGTGGCATCTGCCAAGCAGCGATGCGGTGTACAGCGGTGGGGCGGTCCCCAGTCAGTGAGATGTAGGGTGCCAGAAACGATTCTAAAAATGACCCATTGAAATGCAGGGTGACTTGGATGTTAATTGTTTTTTTCTTTTGAAATTTGGAGAGACAGAATAAGGTGGTCATCTTGCGGGTGATCAAGAGCCTGAGGCCAGACCAGACAACAGTTAAGTGCAGCTGTTACTGTGTGAGGACATCGTGGAAACCATGCTCCTGAGTCTTAACCGCTGACTTGAGGAAGAGGAGAAGCAGCCAGTTCAGAATAATAAAATTGCTAATAATTCCCCCGGGGCTTAGAGTACAACAAGCCCATAACCAAAACCATTCTCACATCTGTCCCCAATTTTTTCTCAGTTCAACACTTATGTCAGCAACCTAAAAACATGTGCCTGTGTGTCTCCATGGGGTAGAGCAAATCTTAATTTCATCTTTCTTCACCAACTTTTCAAAATGTGTATGAGTCAGCATTGGACTTTTATCTCATATGTTTGCCTAGGATTCTTCAGCTTAAAGTTTTTAAAAAGTTGATTATTTTCAACATCCTTATTTTGAATTTATGTCATTATTTCAGGTGCTTATTTTGCTTGATTATTTTGTAATGAATGAAAGAGGGAGGCATTTTTATGAGTCGACATGCCACTTGTGAGTTGTGATTTGAGTAGACTACTTAATTCAGTACCAGGAAACTAAGTGGCTGACTTTTCCAGAATTGACATTGGACTCAGGCCATCAAACATGAGGTAAAGGTGTAAGTTGGAGCAATTAATTCATCCCTTGTAGCCGTAATGAAGGGTGTGTGATTGCTCAGTTCAACCCTCTGATGAACTGGCGACTTGCAAGTCTATGAAAAGAGCAAGTACCAATTCAATTACTAATGCTTTTTTTAAAAAATCTCCAGTTGAAGGTGATACAACTTTTCTTTTTGGCATGGCAAAATACAGAAATGGAAACATGTTTTTCATAAGGTCGTTTTGCAACTTTTAAAATTCTAGGTTGTGTTACGGAGGATTTCACCTGTTAGTGTAGGTCTGCTGTGTTTTTTCAGTCTGCTCTATGTTCTTCCTTATAGTGGTGGCCCTCGTGCCATTTTTCTGTTAGTGAACATTTTATGTTACTTCCGACTTATTATTATAGATGGTGTTCCAGTGGACACCCTTTTGTCTGTCTTTCTGTAAATCTGCATGCTTTTTTTAAGAGTAGATACCAAAATATGAAATTTCTGGGTCGTGAGTTCTATGCATTTTTAATTGATAGGCCCTGCCAAATTGTCTTCTAGACAGGCTGAACTAAATTCCTCTCCCACTAGTAATATATGAGGGAAAAAAATAATAACTGCTTTTTTTCCCCCGTCAGCACTTAAATTTTGGTCATTCTGATGGGTAAAAAGTGAATATTCATTTTAATATGTGTTTCCTGATGCATAGTGAGACTAAGCATCTGTTTTTATTGATCATTTATTTGTATTTCCTATTGTTAGTGTCCTTTACCCATTTTTCAGTTGGATACTCTTTTATATTTATTAGCATTTAAAAATACAGTTTGTTATATAATCATACATTATATATTAGTATTTTCTCCCAGTTTGTTGATAGTTCGTTAATTTTGTTTGTGGTGTTTTGTGTATGTGTATGTGTCTGTTTGGTCATAGACATTATAAATGTTATCAGTTTCCTTTATAGCTTTTGCTTTTTTATGTATGCATATATCTGCTGCTGAATTCTGTTCCATTTATCCATTCTACACTTTAAATTACTATAGTTTTAAAATATATTTTGAAACAAGCAAATCTCCCCTGTTCTTTTGATGCTTTTTCTTGGCTGTTTTTGTCCCTTTCTTCCATATGAATGTAATCATTAACTTATATTTCATGAAAAATATTAATGTGATTTACTTTGGAGTATTGCATTTAATATATAGATTAGTTGGTGGAGATTTGGCCATCAATTTGTAATGCGTGCTTAGGTTACCTTTTTAAAATATCGATAGTTTTCTGTTCTAATGGTATCTTCAGGAGAAGAGATAGAGTACTACCACCCGTAAGTGGTCTTTCTCGCCATTATTGGTTAGGGAACTGGCTAATCTGGGACAGCAGAGACTCAAAAATAAAATGGCTCATATATGATAGTTTGATCCCACGAACAGACCAAAGGCGGCCAGTGGTGCCGGGCAGGTGGACTCCGCAATTTCATGAAGTGATGGAGAGCACCAAATTTCTTTGATTTCGTTGCTCTGGCATCCTAAGGAGGGATGTTGGTTTTGTATGTGGGGTTAGAAACTGGCTCACCAGGATTACATTCTGGGTTCAACCAAGGTCGGGGGAGGCCCAGGTTTAAGGGGAAAAATGCTACTTCTATTCCTTTTCCATTAGCTAGTACCTGGTTACACGGCTCCCTCCAGCTGCAGTGTCTTGCTGGGCAGTCGCCGCATGCCCAGCCAAAACTCGGAGAGGGGCGAGTGTCTGTTTTATGAAAAAGACATGGATTCTTGTGGATAGTAGCCTGTATTTATCCAGGTGAGTTTTAAAATATAACTTGCGTTGATGTTTTTTTTTCCATTATAAAAGCCATACTCGTTTACTGTAGAAAATTTAGACAGCATGCATAGGGAGGAAAAAAAACTAAATGTATAAACCTACCACTAAGAATAGTTGTCATTTGGTAACTTCTCGTTTTTTTCCTAATTTCAGTTATGATCTAATTCTAGCCCAGAGAAAAGTATAGAGCACTTTGATCACATTTGCCATTTTGCCTTGTTTCAATTCAGATCTCGTCTAAGTAGTAAAACATTAGTGAAAGTTAGAGCCCTGTATTTTGATGTTTCTCATTCTATATGGTGTTTATAAACGTACATTGCCAGAAAAAAGAGAAACTATGGTTTTGCAGAATGCTTTTGAATTTTACACAGAATGATACCGTCAGACAGTTCGTTTTTCCTCAACTATATTGTTTTTAGTGAATAGCTTCATGTGGTTGTACTAGTACAGGGGTCTGTCACATGGATGTCACCATGGAGTCATTCTGCTGCTGTTGGACATTTAGAGTTTTTCTCAGGTTTCCACCACTATAAACATTCTTGTACATGTCTACGCTCATGTGCGAGTTTCTGGTGTACATACTAAAGTAAAATTAAGTCATAAACTATGTAGATCTTCAACTATTCTAGATAATGCAAAATTGCTCTTCAAATGATTGTTCCAATTAAACTCTCAAAAGCAATATACAGGAGTTCCTGTGGTCCACGTCCTTACTGACAGGTTCGATAATTTTACCAATTCAGTGGGTTTAAAACAATCCCGTCTATGGTTTATTTTGTATTTCCTTAATAACCAGTGAGGATAAACATCTTCTCATGTTACTGGCCTGTGAATTGCATGTTTTATATCCTTTGTCCATTCTGTTGGACTTTTTCTTCTGTTGCAAGAGCACTTTAAGCTGGAGTCTGCGATTTTCTTGGTCTTGTGCATCACCAGAGCTGGTGCCACACTTCTGGTTATCTTTTACTTTGTTGATAATGCCTCTTCTTGTTTAGAAGTTTTTGCTTTTAATTTGAATTGATTAGACGTTCATAGTTTTTGTTTTTCATGTCTTCTTTAATAAGTTTTTCCAGCCTTAAGATAGTCTTCTGTATTTTAAAATGTGCTTTGCATTTAGGTCTCAAGTACACCTGAAGTTTATTTTCGGTATGAGGTAGGAGTTTGCTATTACTTTATTCTTCCATAGGGCTAACAAAAATTATTCTAATATTCATAGTTATACCAAGGATATTTTTTATTTCCTATATACAAAGGATATTATAGTTCTATATTTTTATATATTTATGAGTGATATATAGAGAGCATATTACACATTTACATATATATGTACATATGCTTGTGTGTATGTGAGTGAGTGTGTGTGTATGGGCTCTATTTTGATAAATTGTTATTTTTTGTATACTCTTGGGCCAATATCACACAGTCTTAGTTGGCTTTAAAATAAGTCAATATCTAGATGAGAGAAGTTCCCATCTCCCTTCTTTTCAAAATCATCTTAGCTAGTTTTGGTATTTTGCTTTTCCATATGAATTCTATTTTCATTTCTCCCTTTTAATTTTTTGAATATTAACATTTACATGGTTCAAATTCAAAAGGTGCAAAGGGTTATGTATAAAAAAGCTTCCTATCCTGTCCCCAGCCACCAAGGACTCAAACTTTATTCCCTGGAGACAAGCAGTATTATCAGTCTCATGTGTATTTTGCATATCCAAGTAAATAATGTACATGTTTATAAAATATTTCCCTACCTAATATACCCTACAACTTTTTTCACTTAAAACTTTTTGGTAATCTCTGTAATCAGTACATAAGAGCTTCATTGGATTTTCTTCCTCCTTGTATTAGTTGAAAATCATATACAATTAACCATTTTACAGCCCAATTCAGTGGCATTTACTGCATTCACAGTGTCGTGCAACCATCACCTGTTAAAACTTACATCACCCCGGAACACCCACATCACTTCCCCCGCCCCCCGCCTCCCAGCCCCCGCTCCTCCCATTCCATGGCACCCGCTAATCTGTTTTCTGTCTCTGAATTTGCCTATTCTGGATAGTTCATATACATGGAATCCCACAATATGTGACACTTAG